TATCAGTACCAGGCCAAAGTGTTACTAAGAACAACCATGAATTCGGTTGGGAAAGGTCTTGCAACACTACAAAAAATTGGATAGATATCTTTACAAGGCCAGACCATCTAAACAAGATGACTGCCATAATCAAGGACACAAGCCTACTTATCATCATCAAGAACACGTGCTCATTTCAAGCAGCTTCTCGATCCTTCTATTCTAGGACTGTGACCGCTGTGAATAAATGCATGTGAACAACGGCCTCCACAACATGTAAAAGTTTTCTGCCGATCGAACGATTAGCCAGACTACAAGGCTTAGTTTAAGATTATCGTCATTTATGGTGTGCGGTCTGCACTCGACGCGCTTCTGGTTTTCTGAAACCGAGGGTATCTCCTCTCCCATCGGTGTAAATGTCATTTTTCCTCAGAAATATTCCGATTTTTTTTTGAAAAGACTCAGCCCAAACGTGTCGCACAAGCACTGGCACCATAGTTTACATAAGTGAAATACTGTGACATAACACAAGTGAGTTGCAGTACATATTAAATAACAAACCATTTATGTAACAATTATAACAAAATCATCAATAAGCCGGTGTGACCTCAACAGGCTGCATCGGTGGAGGAACAATTGGGAGTCCCATTTCCTTCTTCTCAACCTTGTGCTCCGAACTTGGTTCAGTGGGGTTGGTCTCCGGCTGGGGCTCCAGGATCTGGACTTGATCGGGAAGAGCGTTCTTGGGTCCCATCTGACCGCGGGGATCATGAGGAAGCATAATCTTGACTTTGATTCCGATAACTCCTAAAACATACACTTTCACTAGCGCAATTACAGAACACAGGAGACAAAAGAAATGGAAAGAGTCTAGCGACGTTACCTGCACCGTATCAAGAAAAATACGACCATTTTGCATCACTCACCTTGGCGGAGCTGAACATGTCGCACGGCTTGTTGGATATAGTCATTAACTGGGTGTCCAGAGTGAATCATGAGACCATCGACGAACTTCATAGCCTTAGCACGTTGACCGCGCAGCTTTCCAGAAACGATGACCTGAACCAACGCCGTTAATTGGAGACAAAAATGGGATATTTGGGAAGTGCAATTAACTTGTAAGTGAATCATGAAACCGGCACAATCAAACTAACTGCCCGGCGATTAAAACACTAGATACTTTTGCCATCAGGGGATTAGGTCTAACAGTCAAATAATAAGAGTTAGCCTTGCCCAGACCCTGTGGCGCATGAAACTGAATACTGAGAAAATTACTCGCCTCACAGCCCTGAGCTTGTGATTCCATAATGAAACGAAGAACACCATAACAGGCACGACGGACAGCAAGACCTCCAACGAGTTTGTAGCGAAGGGACTCGCATTGGGCAACGGCGCAAAGACCACGGTTGGAGACTTTCTCTGCGTAGAGCTGAAAGATTATAAGAGATAACTTTCAAAAATAACAAATCACTGCTGTGACATGTAGTGTTACAAAAAAAATCAACGATTGTTAACTCTCTGAACGAAACTTAATGAATGAAGCCTCCGGTATCGTCATCCCTACACATCAAGAAATTGAAAGTGAACGTAGTTCAGCGAGACTAGGCCTCTAAAATGAACGCTTCCTAGTCAAGAAATTTGGTCAATGAAGGGTGGAAATTTGGTCAAGGGGAAAAGACTCGAAATCATTTATTTGGCGAAATGTCACCACGCTTCAGGACAGAACAAATTGTGAAGGGAAATAGAGAGAAGAACACGCTTTCACATTCGGTTCACAGCATTTGTTGCAACTCGTTCATTATTTTGAGGAATTGATTTCAACACTACTTCTTCGATTTCTAGGCCATGTCATTCATTTCCAACCAAGTTCTCTGTTTCCACTTTAGTCGAATTCTTTTCCCTTCCGATAATTTTTATCGCTGGAAAGTGTGAAGAAACAAGGAACAGTTGTGGTAAGGCGGAATGAGGTGTGGTGGGCAAAAATTACGGTAACAAGAGCGCTAACCAAACATCTCGATTTCCTTCGAACCTAATAAATGCACCTGGTTGAAGAGACCCCGGAGAGAAATCACTAGACACAACAGCAAGGTAGACCGCTTGTGCACAAAGCAAATATTGTGCAACATTGGTTTTGCAGAATTTTCCGAATTCATGCCATTGAACGAGGGGCCACCTTATTTTCCCGTGTTAAAGCAAGTGGGTTATTTTCCGTGGAGTCTACTGAAGACGATGGGCTACTACGAGTATCACTAAAGCATCGACGAATTAAAGAAGATCCTAGGGTAAGCTCGATGTCACCTACCTACACAACAGGCCATATGCGTTCCCGAGATGACTTCATTCAGGTATAAACGCAAACAGCGGCCAGTCCAAGAAGTGATGTTGTATTCTGTCTGGTGACCTCCTATGAATACATTGTTGGGGTCCACGTGTGTCTTGCTGGCCGAATTGCTCTTCCATGAACACTTTATCCTGTTACCGTAATTTTTGCCCACCCTGTATAATAACAAGTCCACCCCAAGTCCCTTCCGTCCAGTCCTTTCTTCCGGTACTAAGGGTGATTTTGGTGAGACGGGGGGTGGTGTGGAGGCGAGGAAAGTATCTATTCGACCACCGCGAAGCGCCTCTTCTCGCCATAAATCTTACATCGCCCGGCCACAGTGTTCTTCAGCAAGGATGTTCCCCAACTTTTTAATTGAACAATTATCACATTGTGGTTAGGCTGGCGAAGGAAAAGTAATTTATTGACCACCGCGAACCCTCTCTTCGCCCATATCTTCATGCCAGGCAACCAATTTCTGCCAGTGATTCCCAACTTTCTTATTGCATTTCACATTGTATTCGCCCTCTGCGTTATTTTTTTCGCGCCGGCGGACATCTCTGACAGGGCCTAAGGAAAGAGAATGAATTGAAAAGAACGCTGTGGAGTGATCATTTCATTGAAGCCATCTGGAAGTGGCAACGAGCTCATGAATCGAGATTTTACCTGCTGCGGAAAACTATTGCTGAACGTTATCCTATTCAAAATTAGTTATGAATTATTACTTCTAAATGAGACATGAAGAAAATTTTTCGCTTGTGAACTTGTTTGTCGTGGTTATGAATGTCTTCACTGTTACCTAACCCACATCATTCCGCAACAAATGGCAAAAGTATGAAAAACATGCTGCATACCGTGACCCGCAAAATCGTGTTGTTCCACTATATTAGTTTTTCGAGCCCACATGGACATGTAAAAAGATGCGCTATCAAGTGATCACTTAAGGTGCGCAGTGAGCACCAATTCTCCGCTCCAGATTGCATGTGCTTCAATGCTGCATTAATACAAACCAATTGCGTTTGATAAAATTTATTGAAGCAGATTCGCATCTAAAGCATACCCCGAAATCCTGCTCATCTCTCACCTCGTTCACAAAAGTAATTTCTCAAAAAAAATCTCTGATACTGGGTTGCAAGCATTGGAGCATACGATGAAATATAATCAAATACAAAAAGTCTAATACTGCGAAAATAAGGTCTTGAAACCCTCGTTTTGCTGACAGACCTCATTCAAGCACTTGAAACATGTATAGATCAAAGGCACTTTCAGTGTTGCGACTCTAGGGAATACGAGAATAAGCGAAAAAGGGTAACACGTATCGAATCATTAGGTTGAGCAATAATTATCCGCCATTTTCATTTCACTTATAAGTTTTTACAGAACCAAACAAAAACAACAAATGCGTGATCAACAAACGCTCTCGAACATTCTTCTCTGCCTTCATCCTCAGGCTTATTGATTTCACGAGTAGATGGAGAATCATTCGGTTTCGAGCTCAACTTGCACTCAGATAGCAGGGGCAATCTGTTTTGCTAATGTGTAAGCTTCAAAGTGAAGTAAATACCAAAATGTTGTACATCAAATACGCAAAAGATTTGAGGCGCTTCAGATTACATCACAACTTTTGAAAATAATGATAGCAAAAAATCAAAGAACCGTGAGCCTAAAAAAACGGCGGATAATTATTGCTCATCCTAATAATTCCTCCGCCCTCTATACCGTCAGAAGATTCGCCTATTTCGAATAAACAATATTGTCATTTTTTTCCTAGTCGCTTATCCGCCGCCGAACCGTTATACCATGACTCCTAAGCCTCAATCAAAGCTCACGATTTGAGCACTTTAGCTATTATGTTGAGGCGAACAAATATTAGCGACGACTGAAGGATCGCTGACACATTACATAGACGAACGGTCACAGTCGGAGATCAATCCATCATGTACAGCCTTACTCAAACAGCAGACACGTTCGGAACGCCGCACAGCAATATGAGTACAAAATTAAGTTATACATCAGGGAGACGGTTAAGAAAGGCAGTTATACATATGCGAGCTTTTGCGGAATGAGCGTTCCAGCAACGAGTTATAAAGTGCCAGTGTCCAGGCATACCGTACTCCAGACTCGTTGCGTGATCTTCTCAAGAACGCCTTTCATACCAAGCTGCCCTACTTTTAAATTTTACTAATTTCAGCTCATCTGCGTGGTTCGAACACATAATCATGACAATAACATGAAATAACTACTACTAATCGGATGATTACAGAGTTGTTGCAACGGCCACCAAAGCGTCAAAAGCCGTAGTTACCTGCTACAAAGTTGAAATCAGCAAGGTAGGAGTATGGTTCCTCGGCTTTTTGGTCATTCTGCTTATTATCGCTACACAGACGCGCCATTTGGCACCTCTACATGCACTTCAGGTACAGCTTGTAGCAGTTTGGTCTTCAATCGCATAAGCGTCAAATTTCTAGATCGACACCTACGCTCCCCTTTCAGAAAAATCGCAAAAGTCGCAAACTGCGAACGGGCCTAAGGGAAGAATAACACGGAAATTGACAAAAAGATTACAAAGAATATGAAGTGAACAAAACCAAATTACACCTAAAAACTCACTTCGACAGATCCTTCTTCAAATCCGAATCGTTTCTGCACAACCGACGTCAATTCCTTGATGCGACGTCCCCGTTCTCCAAGAACGGATTGGGTGCGTGTAGCCATGATGATGACTTCAGCACGAGCAGGGGTGCGGCGCACCTTCAAAGTTTGTGATGGAAGCCTTCACATAAAGAACAAAAAGAAACAGGGAAGTAGTCATACTAACAAAGAACAAATGTTCAATAGTAAAACTCACCTCGACACCAGAGTATCCATCCTCAGCAAGTTCTTTCATTAGAAAATTGTTCAACTCCGCCTTGAAAACTCCGTCCAAGACGGCCTTCTTCTTCTTTGTAATTTGTGGAGCACTCGCCATATTTGCCCTCCGTTCAAGATACCTGCAGTGCGACCGTATACAATATATAAAAGACAAAATATGGGCAGATCCACTAAAAATCGGTTGACAAAAACGGCTCTACCTATTTCAACGCGGATTCGAAGTCAAACGACAAAAAACACAAAGAAACTTCAATAATGAACGTATTTTTCACTATAACTCTATCACTGGGCACTACGAACACATTATGACAGCACTCTAACTCATTCCTAGTCGAAAAACCCCACTCGATCCGAATACATGAACACCTTCCCTATATTTCCGCAAAAAATAAACAACACAATCAAGTAAAATCACGCGAAATAAATTATACAAAATTTTTAAAATAATGAAAAGTGGAAAACGATTTAGCTGCTGAACACAATGCGACAAGAGCAGATACTCAGTCAAGAATAGGCACCGTAGATGCTTTCCGTTTGAGACCTCCCGCAGTGTGTGGAAAACTCGTCCCGTTATTTTTCATGGTGCTCACTCGGCCGAGCATCAGTGAATGTGTTCCCTGGAGAAGTTTCGTTGCTGTCAAGTTACATGTGTAATAAAGTGTTAAATATTATGTATTTATGGTAAAATGAGTGCTTATTGTTCCCACTTAAGCCCGATTTGGAGCCCAGCATCGACAGCATACAGTAGGAGAATGCAAAATGCAAAGTTGTTTGGTTTGCACTTTTTATTGATTAGGAGTTTGGTTGTGGTCGTTTCATTGTGTCTTTATTGAGAAGTTGAAGTGGAGTTCAAGGCGGGAAAGACAGCAGGCTGTGAGCAGTTCTTCTCTCATAGTTCCTGTCAACTCTTAGGCGTAGTTCTAGAAGATGCCCCCGCATCTTCCGGTAGTGCCCAGAATCACTAGCAAATGTCATCAATTATTTAGCAATTATGAAATTTGTTTGGTTTTATAACGTAGAACTAAAGTAATACTGAGGCGCACAGGAAAATGCAGCCTCTGAGGTAGAACTTTGGGCGATCATGTTTTGGGGAGGATATTCAAAACAGGGCATTTAAAAACTGCTGATTAGTGACACTAGAAGTAAACCTGTAGGGAGAGAGACGCCGGGGAGAACAAAGGTTGCTACGTCTTCCCCAGAATCCCTTCCACTCCCCTAGACTAATTCCAAGGTTCTATTAGTGGCTTCACTCACTCATTCAATTCCCCTCCGCTACCCCTGCTCCCACAGCGGCATGAGAGCGAATTTTTGTTGCCTGTAGCGCCAGGATGACGGAATCGCAAAAGGCCACGAGTCAAGATGATCACAATTTCAGTCCACCTATGTAAATAATTTCGATTCCTTTGCTCGATCGATTTTAGTTCATTCCATAACCCAAAAGAAGTTGAGCGTGGTGGTCTTGATAGAACTGAAATTTGCTCGCTGGGAATAGTCAATAATAATGGACTCCATACACAATGTTTTTCGGAGGTTCTTATGTCTTCGAATATGATTTCGGAATAAGTTACAAAAGCAAGGGCTGGACTCAAGTTGTACCAATCACTTCCCTAACGCATATATTTTTCAGGTTCCACTCTATCTATATAATCCATATGTTCTTTTTCTATAAAGTGGATTCAAGGGTGTATTTGCTCTTGCAAAATTCTCAGGCTCAGCTTCATATGGCGACTTGCAGCCAGACAATGGTGCCGTGAATAACGTAATTTCTTAGGTGATAAAGTTCACAGTGAAGGTGTGGGGGAGCCGCCGCGGAACGCGAAATGTTCGTGCCTTTCAGTGCGAAGGCTGAATCCAAAAGGCTGACGTCAGACTGCGAATCCAGCGATTCGCTAGCGAAGCGCTGGATCGAAGCATATGCCGCAAAGTCGAGCGGATGTACCAGCGTTCGAACTATGGATACTAGCGGATTCGAGCGATGTACCAGCGACTCAACAAATGGCGGGCATCGTTCAAGGATTGTCCAAACTCTCAATACGGTGTTCGAGTCGTGGATATTTCGAGTTCGCTGGCAGTAGTTCGAATGAACGCTCGATATCCAACGATTCGCTAAGCGACGCGGAACGCGGCCAAAGTCTGACTCGGCCCTGAAGCAAGTGGAGGTGCCTATGGGGGGATCTGTACCTTGCGCACCTCTTCAGCAACAGGTGTAAAATCAGGGTCATCCGTGCGCTGGGCAAAGTATAACGAGGGGTGGGGTAGGGGGGGGGGGGCATATTTCGCGGGGGAGCGGTAATGTTACAATAAGGGAAGTTATGATGCAGGTTGGTGGGGCGCTAAAAATTTGCCGTTCTCGGTCGTGTCTAAGCCCCCCCCCCATGGTTTTTGGATGAAAGTGTGCGGAGTTTGGGCTGCGTGACTATTGGCCGATGTCAGACTTTGCGATTGGAGCGATTTTGCACCAATTGCAGGAGCGACGGATCGCTTGAGCGATGCGAGCGACGGGAGATTTACACCGCCGACCAACGATAATTCGGCGCCATCAGTTCGTAAATCTCCCGTCGCTCGCATCGCTCAAGCGATCCGTCGCTCCTGCAATTGGTGCAAAATCGCTCCAATCGCAAAGTCTGACATCGGCCAGTCCTGAATCGAATACTATAGAGATGTGAGTTCCATTTGATGGCGGAATGGCAGACGAGCGGTGTGAGGGTTGACTTTGAGGGGGGTCGTATCGAGTCTCAAGAAGGCGACGGGTCGTAAATTTCGGATCGGGTCCAACGTGACGGTGACGGTCTGTACTCTTTATGTGCTAAACCGGCATTTCCATAAACGTTTGCACTGCAGATTGGCGATCCCGTGGTCAGTATGCAAGTTCAGTCAAGACATATCTTACTCGAAGCTCATCCTTCAGCAAGCTGTACTTCAACGGGTGTGGTAGATTACCCGTGCCATCGCTAGGACCGCAGTTATAGTTTAGTCGAACTGAGGCGGAGTAGTGACCCGGGTCTGCCTCTTTAAAAACAAAACTTACCGCGCTCGGGGGGTTTAAACAAGATGTCGCAATGGGACGAAAGCTTTCTCCAGTCTCCTCTATGGTGTTAGACTCACCACAGAAATTCTGAAGGAATGCGACTTGTAGAGGTAGATGTGGTTCACAATGAAGGATTAACTTCCTCAGAAGGATATTTCTTAAGAGTCAGCGTTTGTCTTCTTCGTTAGGTAATGCTGTAACTACAAAACGGGGGAGGACGGGGGAGAGTGCAGTCTGTAGAAGGTTTTCTGGAACTGAGCTACGGAGGGAGACGATTTTGGAGAGAAAGGTTGCTCACGCACTTCGGACCACTTCTCCTTTGAGGCTCAGTCCTAAAACTGAGCGTTTCCATAACCCTAATGCAGTGTGTCGCATGCTGCCGTTCTCGCCCACCAAGCCCCACTGAGGATGAAGTATAAACTCGGGGTCTTATATTCTAGGCAAATTGGTGATATTGCTCTGCCTTTAAGGGGGGCTGTGACTGCTCCTACTAATAAGTCACTGTATTCAAACGATTTGCGCACTCAACATATTGCCGTCTCCTGAGAGCACATTGCTGAAACCCATGAATATCGGCAGATCTTCGTTCGGTGAAAATTTAAGGCAACCTTCTGATTTTCACCTGTAGACACTAATTAGTAGTCAAGTAGCTCTGGCAGTCAAGTAGCGTCCACTTATTTCCCGTAATGCAGTTTACGTCAAAAAATTATGTTGGAAAGTTCATCACAACTGTTCCTATGATTCCTCGCTTTTTCGTTTCAGGTATGTATTATTACTTTTGCTGAGGTCACTGACTGGTGAACAGTTTTTGAAAACACCGCTGTAGATATTTGAAAGGGTGATGGGCTTTGCTCTCACGACTTACTGGATGGAAGCACAAAATCCAAGCAGTTGCAGTGAAAAAATCCCCGATAAATCGCTCTGAGTTGCCTCCGGTGTGGACTTAGCGAAGATTAGCGTCAACATACTGACATTTTATCATTTTCTTAAAAAATGTCTTGCAAAATACCAAATTCAATGCTACAAGAGATAAACGATGATCGATTCTTGTGGGATCAAGAAGAGGTACATTTGTGGTGGTGCCTAAACTCCCATGCTTCCAATTCATTACCTTGCTATCCAAAGACGCTTCCTACCAGTACTCTCGTGCGAACGACCGCATCCCCTAGTTATCATTCCTGCTCTCCTGCTAGAATATCTATACTCTTGCCTGCGGTGGTACCAGTGCGGAGAGCAAACTCAAAATATGGGAAAAGGCACGAAATTGCGGTGTCTCCAATCACTCTAGCTAGTTGAATGCTCGCTCCAGTGCTACGTATATTTGAACGTGCGCGCGCGGGAAATTTTTTCAAAGAGGCGAGCATCTCGGTGCATATACCTCCGATCGGTATGGTCGTCTGGTGGCAACATTCGCAGTGTGAGGGTAGAAATATAGTATTCGAATGATCCCAACGTGCCATGGTTACGATTGCATGGTCGTTACGCGTCTATCCTCCAACTCGGTCGTACGATCGGATGATCGGTCCGACAAACTGTAGCTGCCGCCTGACGCCGGTACAGCAGGCAGCAGGTTTTGATCGTGGCATGCTTGTGACGCGCAGTGCGTAACATAGGTTTTGTTGAAGATGTGAGCTTGTAGCAAAGTATGAAGGCGATGGATGCGGTGGCTAGGAGTCACCGGCTCGCTTCGGGAGGGGGAGGAAGGTCTGAGTTGCGCGGCCATCTTAGCGCTATACTTGTATGGAGAGACAAAACGTTATAGACTAGATAAGTATGCCGAGCCTCTAATGGGATGGGAATGGAAGAAGAGTGCGCATCGCCATCGAGACCTTGAGAGATTCATCACCACCGGTCACGTTATTTTCGAATTCCAGTTGCGAGGCGACATACGCTGTAAATACTACTTAAGATGTAGTGTGAACACACTAAATTTGTTGCGTGAATACATGAAAGTGTCAGCAGCTTCTATCCATGTGACTATGTACGGGGAGATTTGCTATGGATTTGATCAACACGCGTATCCCTACGACCTTTAAAAGCTGTTGCCCAATTGTCTGTAGTGAACTAAAATTGGTATGAAATCAGCTCTAGATCGGCGATTTTTCTTCTATTCGACGAGTTTCGAATGGAAGCTGAAAAGAAATGAAACGGGAATTTCTCTGAAAGTCCACATACTTTATGAAAAAGACCAGCGATCCTCTTATCGTAATTCTGATTCATTCAGGTGTCATCGAAATAAGCGGTAGGGGGAGCTGTCCTATAGAATGGTAGATCTTCTAGACTCCTTACAGGAACTTTTGGCGCGTAACGACCCCACATCATTAGGTACATATCGACCTTCTATCGTCAAACGCGTCCAACGACCCGTCCGACGGCACGTGGGCGGTGCTATTTCTCGTCGTCGGAGTTGTCGTAATTGCAGACTCACTATCTCACTCGGCGGGCGCATGCATGATCGGTCATCTAATTGTAGCGATCCTAACGATCGCACAGCGTTAGATACGTATCGGTTGTTTGATGACCGACTACATGCGCCCGGCGAAATCTTCAAATAATCGATATCGCACGGTCTGTTAACGGTTTTTATGCTGTCAGATGCCACGTGTTTCTCGAAGATTGGAAGGAAAGAAATGAACTAGGGGGTCTATTCCAGTTAGGGGGCATCATGGTGCGGTGACTCCCAAAAAGCTACGGTAACTCCGAGCCAGGGGGAGTGTAGCCAGCCTAGGGGGGTGGGGGTGAGGGCAGTCACTTGACATGCGTGAAAAGCTGGAATGTTCGAGTTCACACTAGTTCGCCGAGAAACTGCATCATGATGCCCCCCCCCCTAACTGGAATAGACCCGAACTAGGAATCAGAAAATAAGTCGCGAGAGGTACCCTCGCCTTCAAATGACCAGAAATTGTGCAATTGCAGAAATTGACGTGGCATTAACGTGGCATCGATTCAAGAACATCTTTGAGCACACGTGATGTCACCTTTTCATCGAGAATTTAGCCACGTGTGCCACGTGGATTTCTGGCTGCATGAAACAGAGTGTAGGCAAGAGGGCGCGGACAAGAACAGAAAATCGGGTGGTTCCAACGACTCGGACGAGGTGCCGCAAATTGTGGCGCGCGCGAACCCATGGCGTGTACCTTGGTCACATATCACGGCACACATTGCTCACTGTGGCCCACTCACGCTCAGCTTGCAGTATAGGTTGCGCAGGGTTCAGATGGAGATGGGAACCAGTTCCTTGTCAGAAAATGTTAATGCTGTCTTCCAAACTCCGGATTTTGAATTAGGGTCGCACAGATGAACCTAAGCCACCGCAAATGAATTGCCATATATTTTTTCTTTTCTTTTCAGAGCTTCTTAGATTGTTTGATTGATTTGTGAGCAATGTACTCTTTTACGACCCTCTTTTAGGCCGATGCCAGACTTTGCGAATCGCGCGATTCGCTACTATCG